GCCATCCCAACACTTGGTGGCACACCAGTATCAGCCTTGGCAGGACAAATCTCCCCAGACTTATCCAACGGTTGTGAATACTTAAAACTAACACGAGTCTCTATAAGTGTCCAATTTTAGGGTCTTACACAGAATTAAACCAAACAACATGAATCAAACATGCACTTTATTTATTTCCACTAAATAAGAAAAGTACATCAAATTGGACTGAAGCTAAGGGCATACAAGACTGTCTCACACTTTCATCTAGGTGGGGGTAAGAATTTAAAACATTTTGGATTAATTGGGCCAATACATGTCGCAACAATTAAATAAATAATTCAAAAATAGATAAAATTCATAAAAATATATAAAAATTAAAAAATTTTGGAACATTTTTAACATCATATATTTGACATATTAAACAATAATAGGTCTGATAAATAAAAAATGTTTTTATTTATAATGGAAGTGGAACATAAAATTTTAAACCAATTGAAAATAAAATTATTTTCCTTTTCTCTCTCATTAAGTCTCATCTCTAAGGTATATTCTCTCATTAAATCCTATTTTTAAGATATAATTATCTCATCATTAAATTCTATTAATTAAATCCACAACATTAATTTTAATAGTATAAAAATAAATATTTTGAAAAATAATTTAAAAACAAAATAATTTTCTTCCCGTCTAGTGGTGGGTAAGCAATTCAATCATTTGGGGTCAAATGAGTTAATAAATATTGTCATAATTAAATAATAAAAAATTAAAATAAATAAAATATATATTTTATTTTATATTATATAATAAAATATATAATATAGGCATATCTCTAAAACAAAAATGATATCATAGTCAACGCCATTCTTTTATTGCTCCCACCAAGATGTTATTTTATCTAATTCATAAAACTAGGGCCTCTTCAATAAATCAAATGCTTCCCCCTTGAGCTAAATCTATGATGCCGGAACAATAGTGTATGAAAAGTGTTTTGACCAAACAAAACCCCATGGTATGAAAAGAGAATTTTGATATTACCACGTTTAGGATTCCATTTTATTAGTAACTTGTTTTTAGATATCATATCTTTTCCATATCATAGTGGCACCCGCTATTTTTATTGTTTCAGCCTTTGTTATCGAATGCATGCCCTCCACGTGAATTTTTTAATGCGAATGTTGTTGTATCTGGATGTCTGCAGGAACACAGTATGGCGAAAAATCTTTTGCTCGTTTTAAAGAACACTGTCAATTTCAAAATTGTTCACATATACTTGAAAGAACAGATCAACTTTTATTGTTAATTTGATCAATTTAATGATGTGTGTGGTTATCATAGGTTCTACTTAGTGAAGAACACAAGAAAACAAGAATCAATCCGTCACCACACACGTCATTATGTAGCGCTATAAGCTAGCCCATGTTCTATTTAAACTCCGTGCGCTCAAAGCTCAAATCCATTCCCAGCTCTCTACCATAACCACAGCACACTTGAATCTGAATCTGCTCATCAAAATAAACCACATAAAACACTTGAATCTGCACTCCTGGCTCCAGCTATGTCGCCCCCCCACTTTCTGGTTGTGACGTTCCCTGCTCAAGGCCACATCAACCCAAGCCTCCAGTTCGCCAAGCGCCTCATAGGCATCGGCGCTCAAGTCACCTTCGCCACCAGCGTCTCTGCCCACCGTCGCATGTTGAACGCCTGCAACCCAGATGGCTTAACCTTCGCACCCTTCTCAGACGGCCATGACGACGGCTTCAAACCCATCGGCAGCATCGAACACTTCCTGTCCGAGCTGAAACGCCGTGGTTCAGAGACTCTCAGAGAGCTTATTCTCAGCCTAGCTAGAGAAGGCTGCCCCGTTACCTGCTTGGTTTACACTCTCCTCTTACCGTGGGCCGCAGACGTCGCACGTAACCTTGATGTCCCCTCGGCTCTTCTCTGGATTCAATCCGCCACTGTCTTCGACATCTACTACTACAACTTCACTGGATACGGCGACCTCATATGTAACAACAAAAATGACTCCTCGTATACTATAGAACTACCAGGTCTACCACCGCTCACCAGCCGAGACCTTCCCTCCTTTCTCCTCCCTTCCAATACCGCCTACCCTTTCGCTCTTCCAACATTCCATGAACAGATCGAAACCTTGGAACGAGAAACCAAGCCACGAGTTCTTGTAAACACGTTCGATGCCTTAGAGCCTGAAGCACTGAGAGCCGTTGAGAAGATTGATTTGATTGGAGTTGGGCCATTGATTCCGTCGGCTTTCTTAGACGGCAAAGACCCATCTGATAAATCTTTTGGAGGAGATCTGTTCCATGGTTCGACAGACTACATGGAGTGGCTAAACTCGAAAGAGGATTCATCTGTTGTCTACGTATCGTTCGGAAGCATCGCTGTGTTACCCATGCAGCAAATGGAAGAGCTTGCAAGCGCGTTGATAGAGAGTGGCCGGCCGTTCTTGTGGGTCATCCGGAAGAATGAGAATGCTTCAGAAGAAACGAAGAAAGAGGAAGAAGCGTTTCTGAGTGGGATCGAAGAGCAGAAAAGAGAAGGAATGAAAGTGCCGTGGTGTTCTCAGGTTGAAGTTCTCTCACACCCTTCGGTGGGTTGCTTCCTGTCGCACTGTGGGTGGAATTCAACGTTGGAGAGTCTGGTGACTGGGGTTCGGGTGGTGGCGTTTCCACTGTGGACGGACCAAGCGACGAATGCGATGTTAATAGAAGGTGTTTGCGGTACAGGGGTGAGGGTGAGAGCGAAGGAAGGAGAAGGAGATGGAGTAGTTGAGAGGGAGGAGATCAAGAGGTGCTTAGATATGGTGATGGAAGGAGAGAATGGGGAAGAGATGAAAAGGAACGCCAGGAAATGGAAAGAACTAGCCAAGAAAGCTGTGAAGGAGGATGGTTCTTCTGATAAGAATCTCCGGCGGTTTGTGGAAGAGATGAGAAAAGATTGTTCTGTAGTTTAGAGTGTATTGGTTGTAAATTTTGTTGCTTTTCGTGTGGGTGATGAGGATTCAAATTAAACGTTCGACAGGAGGGACCTCACATGGGGGACACTCTTGATTTTCAATTAGAATCTACTAAATAGTAAACACTGCCATTAATTTTAATTTTATCCAACACCATCAATCCACTTTGCTTGGAACCATGAGAGAGAATAGAGTACAAAGTGTTGAAAGATTTCCAGTCGTTTGATCCAGCTAAAATTTCTCTATTCTTCCCATGGTTATAGTAACAATGTTAGATTGAGGGTACCATCACTATCGGAACCTTATTTAGTTTGAATAACACAACCTTCTCTTTGCATAACTGATCTAATAAAGTGGTGGTATGATACAGGGGATGTTGCCCAATAACACGAGGCAATGTTATTAAAACCATCTCGTTTAAAACCGGAAAGTTCATTGGTTGAGAAAAGCCCACCAACTCAATGATCAGTATATCCTGTCCCATCACGTCTTTAACACCATTTACTTGGTATGTGTGATAATTTTAAGAGATGTATGGGATAGTTTTGGATAGGTATGGATATGAATGAAAAGTTACAAGTTTTATATGATTGTAAATAAGTCAACATATGTATATTAATAAAGATATGTATATTAATAAGTCAACATATGTATATTAATGAAAAGTCAATATATGTATATTAATAAAGATAGTTATAAGTTTTATATGATTGTAAATAAGTTATTTAAAAGTAAAAAAAAAACTAGAATTTAATGGTCTATATAAAATTTAAGATATTGGGACACATATAGTAACTATTGGCAAATGATGGAATAACTAAAGCGTGATAAAACAAAAAAAAAAAACTAAAATGTATATTGATATGCATTAGTTTTAAAATAATCAATATAATTTATCTTAATATTTATTAATACATAAATTTTAATAATTAATTCTAACATTTATTGATAAGCATACACTAAGAAAAAGAGAAAATTTACTTAAAAATAAAAATGCATAAACCTATAGCAAGCAAATGGGTGTGGCTTAGTGGTGAACCTCTTGTTGTTGAAGCCTAATGGCTAGGGTTTGAATCTTGTTATTGTTAAGTTTGTAGTTTTATATTAATAAAACGAATTTAATGAGAAAGAGGGTTATTAATTGACAAAATTAATGAGAAGAGAATTCCAATTAGGTGCTAAAATTGAAATTCAATTTTAAAATTATACATTAATTATAGGAGTAATTAACTAACTACTGAGAGAGAAATTGCACTTAACTATTGGAGTAAATATAAAATTAATGAGAGGTAATTCGGCCCTAAATATAATTTAATGAAATTAATGGGTGTGGGTCCAGACTAAATAAGTGGTGTTCACACTCGATTTTTGTTTAGTTATTTTTCTGAATCCTAATTCATCCTTGAACATCTGATCAAACCATTCCAATCTCTTTAAAACACCAAAAACCCAAAGAGCCCAAATCTCAACTCAAAATCCTCAAAATCAATTGTTAAACTTATTCGACCCCAATGAAATAGTTCTTATTAGATCCCAGCTGCACTGTGATCATTAAATCAGATACAACCATCTGATTCAAAACCTTAAAATACCCATTCAAATCAAATTTCATCTCTTAAATTTGAGATCTCACTCACCATTAATTAAAGATTCCGTTTCAATGATCTAGATTAGTCGATGATTTTAAACCTTAAAACTCCTACCAATTTTCATAGATAAATTCTTTTTTTTTTGCCCATAAACAATTCAAGATTCCATTCCAAAAACCTATATTGGCCAACCCAATGTGACCCAACATGCTTTTATTCCTTAGATCTCCTATTTTACCTATCTAATTGAAAATTTGTTTTATTCGTTAAACTCCTAACATCACAAAATACTTAACAATCAAATTTGAACTTAAAATTCCCTTATTTACCTCCTTATCTTATAAAGCTTTCATTTTGAGTTCGTTCATTAGTCGAAACACTTGTAATCTAGATTCCTAAGATCCCAACATCCCTTAGCCCATCGGGTACTATAATTAAATTCTAGACATCCCAAAAAATACCTACCCGTCAAATATTAACTCAAAATTCCACCATTTACCCTCCATCATACAAAGATTCTATTCCGAGCCTTCTTAACAGTCAGGACGTCCATCTTCTTGATTCCCTTGATCTCTACATCCCTAATCCCATTAAGCACTACAATTAAACTCATGACATCCTAAAATATCAACCCACCAAATTTCAACTCAATATTTCTTCATTTACCCTTTCATCATACAAAGATTTCATTTTGAACCCTTTAATTGACCAAAACATTCATAGTCCAGATTCCATTGATCTTAACATACTTGCACCCATCAAACACTACCATAAAACTCCTGCCATCCCAAAATACCTACCTACCAAATTTTAGCTCAAAATTCCCTCATTTACCTCTCTATTATATAAAGATTAAATTTTGAACCCTCTTATCAATTGAAACACTCATAGTCCCAATTCAAATATCAACATACTCGAACCCATTAGATATTGCCATTAAACTCCTAACATCACAAAATACTTACTTACCAAATTTCAACTTAAAATTCCCTCGTTTACCCTTCCACATACAAATATCCCATTCTGAACCTTTTTATTGCCTGAAACACTCGTAGTCTGGATTTCCATGATCTTAACATACCTGAACCCATCAAACATTTCCATTGAACTCTTAACATCCCAAAATACCTAACTGCCAAACTCTAGCTCAAAACCCCATGTTTATCCATCCATTGGACAATGATTCTATGTTGAGACTTTTCATTGGCCAAATGTTAGCACCCGATTTTTCCTCGGTCCTGTGCTCGAACCCCAAGTCATTCCCAGACAACTGATCATACCATTAAGATCTTTGGAACACCAAAAAACCAAAAGATTTCGTATCCGATGATCCTGATCTAACCTTCCAACACCATGAACATCAAACTAAACTTAGCCATCTAATTTAGATCCTCAATATACCCGTTTAGATCAAACCAAAGATCCAAACTCTAGACTTCCATTTTAGCGATTCTAATTAACCGACAACATTAAAGCTTAATGATTGTTCAATCCCACTTTATTGATTATACGAGACTTTACCCCTGGTCCTAGTAACTCATATTCAACCAACCTGTAGAGTTTTACGGAAAAATTCCCCTATTGCACCCATAAACAAGTAAAGATTTTGTTCCAACCACACAAGACAACTATGTGTGACAAAAACAATTTTGGACCTTAAATATCTCATTCTACCCATCAGATTAAAGATCCATATTTTCTATTAAGTCTTAGACATCCTAAAAATTCTACCCATAAAATTTTAACCCAAAATTCCCTCATTTATCCCTTTATCAAACAAGCATTCCATTTTAAGCCCTCTCATTGGCCCAAACACTCGCAACCCAAATTCCCATGATCCTGACACCTCTGAGCCCATCAAACATTTAAATTAAGCTTTAGACATCCTATAATACATAGCTATGAGCTTTCAACTCAAAATTCCCTCATTTACTCCTTTATCAAATCAAGATTCCATTTCAGACCTTTTGTTGACCTCAACACTCATGACCCAAATTCCTTTGATCTTAGTGCCTTTCTCCTAACATCCCAAAACATCTACCTATAAATTTTCAACTCAAAATTTTCCCATTTACCCCTCCATTAAGCCAAGATTTCATTTTAGGATCTTCCATTAGCTAAAACATCCACAGTTCAGATCTCATTGATTTCAACCTCTTTGAGCCCATCAAACACTAACATTAAACTCCATATGTCCTAAATCACCTACCCACAAAATTCCAACTCAAAATTTCTTTACTTACCCCTTCATTATTCGAATTATTCCCCCTTCTAAATCTGCCTGATTCAGGCCTAGTTGGGCCACTTTGACTCCACCAATTGATCTAGAATTCCAAAAGTCTTACCTTGTCAATTTTTACTAAAAAAATACTTTGGTTTTCTCCCTCAACTAAATAGGTTCAATTTCAACCAATCCCATTGGCTTGCACACACAAAACTTCCATACACCTTCAAGACCATCTTTATTCTTTATTGTTTGATCCAAAAATGCCTACTAACCAACTAGAGTTTTGGTTTGACCCCATACTAACCACTAAATAACAAAAATATCCTCTAAAACCATCCTAAAATGACGAAAATACCCTAAAAATCTCCAAAATTACCAAAATTCCCTAATGCCCTAGTATGAAGAAGGCTAAACTCTTTCATAGTTTCATTCGAGAAAATAGGAGCTCCTACTCTTCTTAAACTATCCTTATGGTTTAGCTAATTGACTAACTCTACCCTTACTATTTACATTTTGTCTCAAAGTACCCCCAAATTTTTTGACACTTGTCTAAAACCTCCATTGCCGTTAACTTTCTATATACTATGTGACATCAAGTTACTGATTTATTTTTCAAAAAATTCCTAAAATACCCTTTTTACCTTTATTCCTAAAATATCTTTTTACCTCTGTACCTAAAATACCACTCCTAAACCCTCTATTGAGAAAACCTAGAAGGGAAATTGACAAATTAGGAGTTTCAAGTGCAATTTTTGTTAATTTGTGTTGACTTTAACAGATTTAGACCTTTGTAAGAGGCTTGAATCGGTAGAAATCCATGTTGAAGCACTAGTTGGAGGGATACATAAATGGAGATGGAGTGGGGTTGGTGTGCACTGGAACTACACTATTAGAATCAGTGCCATTCTGGTTGTGATACCTCATGTCCATGGATGATGCATAGTCAAGGTCGAAATATGGATCAATAGAGAAAAAAATAGTATCCGGTTTCCAAATTCAGCATTTCAATGAACTTGGGGGTCGTTTGATTGCACTTTTCAGAGGTCTAAATCTGAAAATGCTGCTTTTCAAACCTCACCCCTTGTTTGGTTTTACCTCTAAAACTTGGTTTGAATCTTATTTTTAGACCTGAAAATAATAGAGATTAGGCCAACTTTTAACGCGCTCAGACACGTTTCAAA